ATCTCATTAAAAAAAAGAATCATTGAACTAACTACAATCACATTAAAAAAAAAAAAACTGTTGAACTAATTACAATCACATTTTTCTCTTTGTGAGTATTTATATTTATCTAAGTTCAATCATATTAAAAAATCGAATTATAATTTTTTTTATTACAAATCACAAAAAAGAGATAATTTCAATCAAAAGAACCATTAAAAGAACTATTAAAATAGTACAAAAAAAAGAAATTACTAAACCAAATACAAATTATAATTTTTTTTTTTGCTAGACCGAATACATAAATAAAGGAGATAACTTCAATCATACAAATCACAAATATTTTTATGCTATCTAATTACAATCATATTTTTTTCATAATAAAAAAAATAATTATAAAGAATAACCATTAAAATAGTAAATAAAACGATTAAATAATTATGAGAGGGTTTTAACCAAATCTCCCAAAAGGCATAGGGATTGAGAGAAATTAATACATGCTGAGTTTTTTTTTTTAAATCAAAAAATTAGAAAATTAGGATTGAGATATTTGAGCTCCCACAAGACTTGTGGGTTAAAAATATCATTTTGCTTAATATATAGTACTAGCCTATGCACGGAATAATTATAGATATTTATATTTGTTTTAATATATAAATTATGTTTTTAAAGATTTTTTATAAAAATAATTTAATAATCTTATCACTAATCACAGTGTACAGGATAAATTAAAAAGGCTACTGCAGTAATTATACACGGGCTGTATCTATAATTATTTGTATGAGAGAATTTTAAATGCCAATCAGGGATTTTGACTAAATCAATAAATACAGGCATGTGGATTGGAAAAAGTTAATAAATGCTGATAAGGGGATTTTCACCAAATCAATAAATGTTGAGGTTTTTTTTTTTAAATCAAAAATTTTAAAAATTAAGATTGAGAGATTGGAGCTCCCACAAGGCTTGGGGTTTAGAAACCCCATTTTCCTTAATATATTTACAATTATCTATATATGTGAATTGCGATTTTTAAATGTTTTTTTTATTTTTAAATGTCTTATTTTTTTCTTTTTTTATATTATATTAAAGTTTAATATTTTGATAATAATCATATGTGTTGGGCTTTTCAAGGAATTAAATGTCTTCTTTTTTTTTATTATATTATATTAAAGTTTAATATTTTGATAATAATCATATGTGTTAGACTTTTCAATAATTTTTTTTTATGCTTGTTCTTAATGCATTAAAGTGTTATTATGGGGGATAATAATCATATGTGTTGGAACTTTTTAAAGAATTCATATGTGTTGGATTTCAAAGAATTTTTTTTATGCTTGTTCTTAATGCATTAAAGTGTTATTATGAGGGTAAAACTTGGGAGTTGGAAGAAGTTAATAAATACTAAGTTTTTTTTTAAATCAAAAAATCAAGAAATTTAGATTGGGAGATTAGAACTCCCACAACGCTTGGGTTTAAAAACCCCCTTTTGCTTAATATATAACTAGCCTATCACCCGTGCTATGCACTGGAATAATTATAAATATTTATATTTGTTTTAGATTTTTTAATATAAAAATTATGTTTTTAAAGATTTTTTATAAAAATAATTTAACAATCTTATCACTAACCATAGTGTATGAGATAAGTTGAAATAGGTACTGCAATAACTATACATGAATTGTATCTATAATTATTTGTATGAGGAGATTTTAAATGCTGATTAAAGAATTTTGACCAAATCAATAAATGTAGGCATGTGGAAAGACATGTGGATTGGAAAAAGTTAATAAATACTGATCAAGAGATTTTGACTAGATCAATAGATGTTAAGTTTTTTTTTTTTAATCAAAAAATCAGGAAATTAGGATTGACATATTGAAACTCTCACAAGGCTTGGTGTTAAAAACCCCTTTTTGCTTAATATATAGTATAGATAATATAGATAGATATATAGATATAGATATAGATATAGATATAGATAATATAATATAGATAGATAGATGTGTTGAAATTTTCAATGAATTTTGTTTATGCTGGTCTTTAATGCATTAAAGTTTAAGTATGAGGGAGTTTTGACCAAATCTTCCAAAAGGCAAAGGGATGGGAAGGAATTAATAAATATTGAGGCTTTTTTTTTTTAAATCAAAAAATTAAAAAATTAGAATTGGGATATTGGAGCTTCCACAAAGCTTGTGGGTTAAAAATTCCCTTTTGCTTAGTATATAGTATAGATGTATTAACTAGTGTTATGATATTATTAATGACCTTATTTATTATACAAATTATAAATACTCAAAACTTCTAAAATTATGCCACATCACTAATTGATATACTAATATGTACGCTAATTAGTGCATATAACATTATTCAAAGAATTACTATAAGTTATCATACTATTCTATTTATTTATTTTTTCATGTTTTTTTATAAAAATTAAAAAATTAATAAACTTTTAGATAGGATTAGAGTTGGAGTTTTTGTCCCGTTTATTTTCAGAGGTAGAATAGATGAAATTTATAGTGAGAGGATTATTAGTGAGGGGATTGATAGCGAGGGGATTAAGTAAAATTGTGTTTGTTTTGATGATAGTTGTTAGTGTAGGAATTATTAAATTATTTTTATATAAAATAGTAAAACAAATAAAAAAATATAAAAAATTAAACACTAATATTTAAAAAAAATTCCCAATATATAAAAAATAAAAAAATTTATAATCCCCTCACTATTTTTTTAATACCATCTCCACCTCCTCTATCTCAATCCCCCTTCCAACCTCCATCTATATCACATCCTACATCCTAATCCCCTCACCAACTCTACAAACAAACACAACACTAAATAACTCCACCTCCATCCTAATCTCCTCCCATCTATTTAACCCAAAAACAAACGGTGCCTTAATTCCAACTTTAGTGATGTGGCAATACATAATTAAAAAAAAAATACAAAATCACAAACCAAAACATTAAATCATAATGAATAATATTAAGGATTATGAAAAAAATATCATAACATGCTTTATAAAGATTTCTCATATTTTGATTAGTGTATGGTATTTTTTTGTATGTATAATCTAACAGTGAAGAATCTTTTATAATCATTTTTGTGATTTTTTTTTTTATGACACCTAGCATTACTTACTCACCTCAAAAGCTAGGTCTGAAACATTTTTGAAACTAAAAAGGGAGAAAGAGATTATGGTAAGGTAGATATATAATTTAAAAATAAAAATAAAAATAAAAATAGTGGGTGTAATGAGTTAGGTTGGTGGCATAAATAGAATACCTCAGTATTTTGGTATATCAGTTGTGTGTTTTTTTTTTTTTAAGATTCTTATTAGGTGTGAGAGTCATATGGTTTCATGCAAGGCATTTGATAGAAATTTTAATAAATTTTTTGAAGTTTCCTCCATTATTTATTTTTTTTGAGAAGTGTATATAAGTTTTATGTATGTATATATGACTAAGATTAGAGATTCTAAAAATTTTACTAAATATCTTAGGGTGGACCCACATAATGTAAGTCATTCCACACCCATATAAATGTTTAATAGAATTTTTGATAAAAATTTAGGTTGTGTTTGATAAAGTTTTGTAAATATGATTTGAGAGTATGAGTTGTATTTTGAGTTTGTAAGTTGTGAAATTATGATTTAAGTGTAGAAAATTTGTTTGGTTATAGTTTTTGAATAGAGTGTTGAATTGAGTTTTGAATTGTACGTGGAATTGAGTTTTGAAAGTTTGATATGACATGCGAAATAAGAAAATTTGTTTGGTGATGAAATTTCAAAATAGATTTCAAAACTTAATTCAACCTATAATTAATAATCAAACACACAACACATAACTCGATATCCGTATTTTTGATCAACGGTCATAACCAAACTATTTTTAAAATACCCAAATAAAAAAATATATTTTTTTCAATTAATTGTTTTTAAGTAATTTTTTTGAATAATTTTTTTTTTCAAATAATTTCTATGTCAATTAATTTTTCTATCAATTCATTTTATATCCCTGTATAAACATTAAAAATATTAAAATTATTTAGAAAATTAAAATATTAAAAATATTTATAAAATTAAAATATTAAAAATATTCTGAAAATTAAAATATTAAAAATATTTTGAAAATCAAAATATTTACAATTAAAATATCAAAATATTAAAATTCAATTAAAAAAATTTATTATTAACAGAAAATAACATTAATCAATTTTAAAATTGAAAATACTACAAAGGAAATAATTTGTTTTCAAAATAAATATTCAAAAATTTTAAATCATAAATATTTAAATAATTTAAATAATCTAAAAAATTTAATAAGTAAAAAATTAAAATAAATATTCAAAAAATTTAAATCGTAAAAATTTAAATAATTTAAATATTCAAAAAATTCAACTATACACTTAAATCGTAACCAAACACATAAAACAAAACTCAATTAAGAAATTATTTTTAAAATTCATAACCAAACACATAACTCGAAACTCCATACTACTTTTACAACTCTACACTCAAATCGTATCCAAATACAAACAAAAAAATTAAAATATTTAAAAATATTTTTATAAAATAGGGTTTGAATTTATTTTTATAAAATATTTTAAAATTTAAAAAATTAAAATCGTAATATTTTGAAATTAAAATATTTAAAAATATTCAAAAAATTAAAAAATTAAAAAAATCGTAGCATATTTAAATATTAAAATATTTAAAATCTTAACAAAATGAAAATATTTTTAAAATATTTAAATATTTAAAAAATTAAAATATTAATTTAAATTGAGTTTTAAAAAGAATTTTGAATTATGTGTTTATTATGAGTTTTGAAAAGTAGCCATTATATTTTGAATTGAGTTTTGAAAAATAAGTATAGAATTATGATTTAAAAGCTCAAAATAAATACCATACTCAAATCAATTGGTAAAATTATAATTTGAGGGGCTTACCAAACGGAGCATTAAAATTTCTAACATTTTTGTGTATATATAGCCTCTCACTCTGCTGCATTAACCCTCTTGTTTTTGACGAAGGCTCTTTCTCTTCTCTCTCTCTCTTCTTTTTTGTTTGTTCAATTTTGGGGGCTAACTATTAGCAAAAAGAAAGAAGAAATGGGAGAGACGAAGCCAAAAGCCAGTGGTGTTTGGCCCACCGTGAGGCCTTTCGTCAATGGCGGAGCCTCTGGAATGCTCGCTACCTGTGTCATCCAACCTATCGACATGATCAAGGTAGTCAAATACACACACAAACACACACACACACATATATATATATATAATATGTTGTGTATAGGTTTCAGATCTTAGATCTGACATTGAAATGGATCTTTGTCAAATGTTGAGTTCCTTTTATGTGTAACTAATGTTGATTGTTTAACTGAAATATGAGATTGACAGGGATCTTAAGATCAAAATGGCTGGTTATTTGTTAAATCTTGAATTTGTTTATATATGAAATAGTGGTTGATTGGAAATTATGATTTGATATATGTATATATATATATATATATATTTGCTCTTACTAACAGTCCGTTTGGATTGAGTTACTTGGAGAGGGAAAAAAAATTCGATTTCCCTTTGTCTTAATTACTTGCTTGGATTATTAAAGAGGAGATAGCTTAGAACATGAATCTCTGGGAGAGCAAAAGAAATGTGATGATTAATGATTTTATATAGTAGCAAAATTGTTCATCTAGCTATTAAGGCAGTGTTTGGTTAATGGATTTGAGATTTGTAAAGGGAAAGATAAACGCGGTGAAACGTAAATAATATATAGTTATCTGTACTCAAATCTATGAACCTAACAGTCCTAAAAAAATAAAAACAGAGATGTTTATTTTAGTAATATAACCATAAAGTTTTTATTTATTTATTTATTTTAAATGTAATCTATCCAAAATAGATTGGAGAGAAATAACTATATTTTCTTTTCTTTTGTCTCCGGTATAACCAAACAAGATGGAGAGAAATTGCTATCTTTTATTTTATTTTCTCTCCTAGCTTAACAAATCATTTTTTTTCTTCTCTCTCCTAGACATCCAAATATAGTGTATGCGCTCTTAGTACTAATCGCTGTATATGTAGTCCTTGTCCCGCATACCAAATCAAACTAAACCTTGTGTCCAAATCATGGTTATATGAATCTTTTTTGACATTCGTCTGCTCTAGCATCTATCGAGAGCTATATGCTTAAATAAATTCATATATTTTTTACTATTGCAGTCCATGTCAGTTTTGTTCTCCAGCCACATTTTCATTTGTGGTGATCATATGACCTTGCACGACATGAAGTTTGAACCCATGATAGGTTTGATTTTGAGTTATTCTTTGACAATTACAGGTCAGAATTCAATTAGGTCAGGGATCAGCCACTGATGTGACAAAGAACATGTTCAAGAATGATGGTATTGGTGCCTTTTACAAGGTTTGTTTCTACCAATTGATTTTTTCTAAAGTTTATTTTTGTTTCATTGATCCTCCAGGAAGGACTGCAAAATTGGGGGTTTTCTGTGAAAAAAAATCTATTTGATTTGAGTTATGCTTCTTATATAAGAAAGAAAACTACTCGGGAATGACTAAATTATCCTCCCACACCCCCAGTCCCAACAGCAGCAGTCATGCATTAAAGTTCAAAAAATTTTCATTTCAAGGAAACCTAAAAGTAATCACGTAGGAGAAAAATGCATTCTCCTATTTCGTTAGTGGCCCCTTATTATTAATAAATTTTAACTTCAGTGACATAGCAAGTGCAATGTCTCAATTCAAATTGAAGGGAGCATCATATGACATTCAAAGTTTTTAAATATATGAACATATATTTTAGGCAATATCAGTAAAATGATGTTTCCTTTGTACTGATTTAAACTAAAGCAATTTGTGGTTTTTGTTATACTATGTGCTGGCATTCTTGCAAATAAAAGAGATATTGCCCCCCGTGATTTTTTGCCCTACCAACTTCAGTCCATTAAAGGACTAGAACATCGTTGTGATCTCCTTTGGGACTTCTTCATGCATTTTCATGGAATATATCAGTAGCTACTGCTAGAACCACTTTCTTTATGCACACTATCTTGTCTAATTTGAATTGTTCTTGAGCAGGGGCTGACTGCTGGGCTGCTTAGACAAGCTACATATACAACTGCCCGACTTGGATCATTTAGGTGAGTGTTTCTCAATGTTAACCACATACTAAGATTGATTATGTGCTCATTTATTTGAATGCTTTGCTTCATTTATTTGGGTGGGGTGGGGTTAAAGCCACGGGTAGAACAATTTGGGATCTTGTCTTAGGAAGCAGAGGTCTTGAATTTCAAACCCAACCATTCTGGGCACCCCCAAAGGCCCCATGTTCCATGACCTCTAAGATGTTTGCAACCTTCACACATTAATAGGCCACCGAGCACCTACACACCACCTGGCACCTGCCCACCCACGCACATCACCTACACAACCACTCCAAAACCACCATGTGTGGCAGCGAGCCTCTCTCTCTCACCTCTTCCTTCCTATCCCTTTTCTTTTCCTTCTACTGACCGAAGTCCCACCACAAGCCATGAGAACTTTTGCCCACCCTATTGCACCACACCACAACACCATTGAACCACTGGCATCCTCATATATATTGCTAGAAACGTCACCCAAAAACATAACTGTCTTCTTCTTGCAACCCACGAGAAACCAACCACCCAGCCTCCACCACACATGTTTTCACCATGGTTGCACAACTACTGCCCACTTGTGTGCTTGTGATGATTGCAGTGGAGAATACTTGTTTTTCCTTGCAGACTTCTCTGCATTGGAATAAAGGATGAACGTGATGAGTATGTATGTATATGTTAGATATTAATGGAAAAAATTTCATTTACTCAGTGTATTTGGCGCCAATGTCTTCCCACCCTATCACACACATTCAATTTAGGTCGTGTGCAACACATGTTGATAATTCAACGGATTGTATTATTTTTGCACTTAAATCTAAACCACAAGGGGTTGTGTATATTTTTAGTCCATGTTAAACCATATGGGGGTAAAGTATTAGTAACCTTATTGTAATTATAATTACTTTTTTTTAGCTGTTGCCTGGCCTTTTGAGCTTTTTGTTGATCCAAAATCTTATTTTAGCATTTTCAAGAAAATGGTCTGTATGGAACATTTGGAGGAAGACTGCTCTATATGTTGTATATGATATCTCTGAAGGAACACGAGGTCACTACTACATTTGGGTAGTATTTACCATGTTAACATTCAACATTATTGTGAGTTCAAATCAATACAATTTCTTTTTTTATTGTTATTTTTATTTTTTTTTCTTTTCTCACTTTAAGATTCTAGTGTAATTGGTTTTTCACTCATAGGTTTTTCAAGCTCTAGAACTCTAGTTGAGCAGAAAAATTCAAGAAATATATTAGTTCCTATGCTAAAAATTTACAAATTTAACCAACTGGGGCTAGCTTAGTTTGCTAGAATAACAAATCTATTTCTTGAATTTTTAGCATATGGGTACTTTGGGATGATGTCTGCAATTGAATATTTAATTTTTTTTAAAAATGATCGTGTTTGGAGTGGACCAACAGTAGTAAATTCCATGCATAACATTTAGGCTCATTCTGAATGTTATGTTAAATAAAAAGCATGAATTGCTTCTTTGCGAGTCCACCAGGGCAAATCTAAGTGTTCTGGAATACTTTTAGTCATGCTTATTTTTCTTTTTGATGGCTGTGTATGGAGTCTTGGACACAAGCAGGTTCATATATGTGTTTACAATTACATGTGGATGTTAGTCATCTTAACTCTTTTATAATGCCATGATGTGTCTGTAGAATACTTGACTCTGTTTCATGATGTTGAAAAATGAAACTCTTCAATATTGTTTGGAACTTATTTTTTCCTTCTGGCGTCAGGATTTTGACAAATAAAGCAATTGAGGCCAATGATGGGAAGCCCCTACCTTTATATCAGAAGGCTTTGTGTGGCTTAACTGCTGGAGCAATTGGAGCATCGGTTGGTAGTCCAGCAGATTTAGCACTCATTCGTATGCAGGCAGATGCTACCTTACCTCTCGCACAGCGCCGGAACTACACGAATGCATTCCATGCCCTTTATCGTATTGTTGCAGATGAAGGAGTTTTGGCACTTTGGAAAGGTGCAGGCCCTACTGTAGTGAGAGCAATGGCACTGAATATGGGAATGCTTGCCTCATATGACCAGAGTGTGGAGTTCTTCAAGGATTCTGTGGGTTTTGGTGAGGCTGCTACAATATTAGGTAAGACTGTCAAATAGTAAATAATGCACAAAGTTTTTAAAATGCTTAGGCACAATATTGACCAAAATATTGAGTTGTTTATGTTTTATCATTTATAATATATATTTATAATAACATGTATGTGTAATATATTTAAATTTTTTATTGATTTGGACTCAGCTTTTAGTTCTCTAGTGGCTGCTTCTTTTACCCCAACTTTAATGTCATTTGTAATAAGCTGTATCAGTATGGTGTCATGATGTAATAATGAAGTTTTAAAATAGTAGGAAGGATTTTTAACCAAAAAAAAAAGATGGGGAAAATTTTACTTTACTAGAAGTTTGGTCCATGGGTAAACGAACCCCTTCCCTATTTCCCTCCCTTCCTTATCTTGGCCAAAAAAAATAAAAATAAAAATAAAAATGGAAAAGTAAATTATTTCTATTTTCTTTTCCTTTTGCTTTCCTTCAATTCATTTTTCAGGAAACATTCTTGTGTGCAGTATTCCTGACAACTGAATAGTGACCACTTCTGTCGTTGGTCCAATACAGTGGGATCTTTAGGAGGTTATCAAAGCAGGATTTTGGCATTCCTATGTTTCAGCGTTTTTCTCTCTTCTTAAAGAATGTAAATGTACAACAAAACTTTTAATGCTTGGAATCATAGCAATTTTTTTGGCAAATCATTTCAATTATTAGATTAAGTTGTGATACAATTGAATGTGGTGCGACATCTTTGTTTCAGCAACCCATTATTTGAATGTAATTGAGGAATGTTTACGGATTTGTTTTGTGTTTATTGTAATGGACATTGATTCTCCAGCAAAATATCACTCTTATGTTTGGTTTGATAGGTAATATGTGTCTTTGTTGTTTTTTTTTCAGGGGCGAGTAGTGTTTCAGGATTCTTTGCTGCAGCCTGCAGTTTACCATTTGATTATGTGAAAACCCAGATACAGAAGATGCAACCTGATGCTGAAGGCAAATTCCCATACACTGGTTCTTTAGATTGTGCCATGAAAACCCTGAAAGCTGGAGGGCCCTTGAAATTCTATACAGGATTTCCTGTGTATTGTGTTAGGATTGCTCCCCATGTCATGGTAATCTCTCTCTCTCTCTCTCTCTCTCTCTCTCTCTCTGCATGAACACTTGTTAGCTCCTGTAATCCACCCAGTAATGAGATGGAACACCAGAATCCATTTGTGTCCTTCAAATATCACATAATTGTTGGGTGTGCGCTTTTGCAGATGACATGGATATTCCTCAACCAAATCCAGAAGTTGGAGACGTCTGTTGGGTTGTAGTGTTTTTCAGAGATAGAGATCTAAATTGGAGTTGAGCTCGAGCCATCAGAATAATAATGGGGTTTTGTGTTGTATTTTCTTGCTGGCTTAGGTGACTTTTACCCCCCTCAAGTCATACCATTGCTTCAGAAAGAATTATTTTATTGCATCTTAAATAAGTTAGAATTTTTTTTTGGTGGGACTGAAATAGAATTTTGCATATTCCTGCGAGATTAATTTTGGAGAGTTATTATATGGAAATGCTTGAGAAAAAAATTGTTCCGGCAAAATTATCTTTATGTACTACTCCAAATTAGCTATATAAACAGGTTTTTTTAGCATCATTTTTTTGCAATTTGCTTCCACTTGATCAGGGGGTTAATTAATTTTCTTCTAGCTGATGATTTGTCATCTTGCACAAAATCCTTTTTTATCATATGGAAGAGTTTTGATGTGGTTGAGACTTGATAGAACAGCAATTCCCAAATGGGCTATGGCGAGTCTATAAAATTATTACATGGATGTGGTAGTCTTTGAATGGTATACAATGATCCTGGTTGGTGGTGGTAGTGTGTGCATGTTATACAATAGTTCAGAGGAAATTTTGTTTCAATCCACCTAGTGTACACACTTGATAACATATTATTTTAACAATAATTAAATTTTAAAATAAAATGATTATAATAGACATCAAAATACACTCAATATTATTGTGGATGTTTGAGAAGTTGTTATTTTAGTAGGTTATTTTAATTTTTAATTATTTTAGTAGGTTAAAATTTATGCGTTCGAGAAGATAATTGAATTTTTTTGTAGTTGGATATGATGTTTGTGAGAGAAAAAATGAAATGATTATGGATTTGATATGATATTTTGTCTTATTAATTATTTTAGTTTACTTTATCTTTTTGTAAATTTTAATCTATTAGGTTAAAATTTCACTTCCCAAACAGCAAATATTCTCTTATACACCTCTTTTAAAAACAAAAAAAATCTCAATGTATATTTTTTACAATAAAAAACTAAGTCCTAAACCTCAATGCATCTTCTTCTCGGTTCGCCGGAGTTCGAGTCCGTGATGACGAATTGAACTCGAAAATTCCACCAAATTAGCATTTCTCAATCCGATACATCAATGATTCTCTACTCTTCAGGAACTATTAACAAATCCAAAGGCGTAAAGCTTAGACATCGAAACTTCATATCGTCGTTGGCCAGAGCACAAGCTTCTCGTTTGGTGAGATCTTCGCTGGCAATTAGTTTCTGTGCGATTTTGTACTTCCACGTGTATGGATTTCTGTTGTGTTTGAGGGCGGTGGCGATGTGGTCTTCAATAGAATGGAGGTCTTCAATGGAAGAATGTGGTCTTCACTTTGTCTTCAATGTGTGTTTGCAATTTTCAACAGCTCTGAAACCGTAGCAGTACTCAACAAATGTGTATAAGGACAGTAAGGGTGGTGTGTGTCCGATGGTATGAGGAATGATATAATTGAATATTTAGTGGGTGGATTGGAAAAAATAATTAATAATCAAATTAATAAATGTGTATACTAAGGTCATGTTTGATTGGGGGTTTAGGAGGATGGATTGGATTACCAATCTGTGGGACTTACCAAACCCTTGCTTGGATGCAACAAAATGTCATAGAATTAGTAGTGAAGGGGGCTTAGTAATTCCCTTCTGTAAGGGGATTAGCTTGAGTAAATTTTAGGTGAGATTAATAAAATAGTGATAAGATTGAGTTTATTTTATATAAAAAAAATTATTTTTATTATTTTTTTATTTTTTATCAAGTGTATCTGTCTGTTCTAGTTTATTTATTTATTTATTTTTATTATTGTTTTTTTTTCATATAGAAATAATTTATTTATTTATTGTATGTAAAAATAATTTAATAATACATCAGTAACCATTTCTTACATTATCATCAAAACAAATACATTTTTATTTAATCCCTTCACTAACGATCCTTACATTAGTAACCTTACAATAGTTCAGAGGAAATTTTGTTTCAATCCACCTAGTGTAAACACTTGATAAAATATTATTTTAACAATAATTAAATTTTAAAATAAAATGATTATAATAGACATCAAAATACACTCAATATTATTGTGGATGTTTGAGAAGTTGTTATTTTAGTAGGTTATTTTAATTTTTAATTATTTTAGTTGGTTAAAATTTATGCGTTCGAGAAGATAATTAAATTTTTTTGTAGTTAGATATGATGTTTGTGAGAGAAAAAATAAAATGATTATGAATTTGATATGATATTTTGTCTTATTAATTATTTTAATTTACTTTATCTTTTTGTAAATTTTAACCTCCCAAACAGCAAATATTCTCTTATACACCTCTTTTAAAAAAAAAAAAAAAATCTCAATGTATATTTTTTACAATAAAAAACTAAGTCCTAAACCTCAATGCATCTTCTTCTCGGTTCGCCGGAGTTCGAGTCCGTGATGACGAATTGAACTCGAAAATTTCACCAAATTAGCATTTCTCAATCCGATACATCAATGATTCTCTACTCTTCAGGAACTATTAACAAATCCAAAGGCGTAAAGCTTAGTCATCGGAGCTTCATATCGTCGTTGGCCACAGCACAAGCTTCTCGTTTGGTGAGATCTTCGCTGACAGTTAGTTTCTGTGCGATTTTGTACTTCCACGTGTATGGATTTCTGTTGTGCTTGAGGGCGGTGGCGATGTGGTCTTCAATAGAATGGAGGTCTTCAATGGAAGAATGTGGTCTTCACTTTGTCTTCAATGTGTGTTTGCAACCGTAACAGGTGGGTTTACAATTTTCAACAACTCTGAAACCGTAGCAGTACTCAACAAATGTGTATAAGGACAGTAAGGGTGGTGTGTGTCCAATGGTACGATGGTACGAGTGAATGATATAATTGAATATTTAGTGTGTGGATTGGAAAAAATAATTAATAATTAAATTAATAAATGTGTATACTAAGGTCATGTTTGATTGGGGGGTTTAGGAGGGTGGATTGGATTACCAATCTATGGGACTTATCAAACCCTTGCTTAGATGCAACAAAATGTCATAGAATTAGTAGTGAAGGGGGCTTAGTAATCCCCTTCTGTAAGGGGATTAGCTTGAGTAAATTTTAGGTGAGATTAATAAAATAGTGATAAGATTGAGTTTATTTTATATAAAAAAAATTATTTTTTTTTAACAAGTGCACCTATTTGTTTTATTTTTTTAATATAAAAATTATTTATTTATATATTTTATATAAAAATAATTTAACAATCTCATCACTAATCATCTCCCACACTATCATCAAAACAAATATGATTTTACTTCATTCACTCACTAACAATCCACACATTAACAACCTCTTCACTAATAATCCCATCTAACCTAATCTGCCAAACAAACGTGGCCTAATAAAAGATGTGCATTGAGTTAAATAAGTGTGTGAGAATAGAATTTTTCATAATTCGGGTTGGTGAATTATATTAGGGATATTCATATAATTTTTATCTTGAGAATTTGTATCATTAGGGCAGATTTAGTTTAATACAAAATAATCAATTTCCCATTTATTGTAATACATTAACTTTATATTTTTTAAACTTTTTTTTATATGTTTTGATTTTTGGCCTTTTAATTGGCTTTTTGAAAGTCTGTCACATGATTTAAAACTTTTAGTTTAATGGGCTAAACAATAAGCCAAAAATAATTTGACTTATGAAATGTATATTATGCCAAAAATATTGTTGAATATCTCATTTTTTAGGGGAGGGTTACCCATTAGGGCTGAGCAAGGAATCCGTGAAATCTGTAATCCGATCCAGTCCAGTCCAATCCGATAGGTTTGGATTGGTTTTTTGAATCCGTGATTCGGTTCCGGATTGAAAAATTAAAAATCCGTAGTACACGGATTGGTTCTGGATTGAACCCCACGGTTCTGGATTGGAACCGATCCGGACCGTATACAAATAGTATATATTTTTATTATACATCCTCCCCCATAGTTTCTTCTCTTATTCTATATAAAATCTAAACTCAAACCTAAAACCGTATAATATCTTCTTTTATTGCTTTTGTTTGTTAGTTTTTAGTTTTAATTTGTAATAGTCTAAATACTTATGGTAAAACCAGTTTTCTTATGATTGTTTAAATTCTAGCACAGTATGTCGTTATTATAAAAATAGATGTTGCTATTGTGGAACTTATATAGCGCTATGTTTATATTTTTATGAAATTAAAGTGTTATATATATTTTTTTGTTATTTAATTATGTGAATCCGTGGTTCTAAACCGATCCAATCCGTATTTAAATGGATTGGTTCGGATTGGTTCCATGATTTAAACGGATTGGATTGGTTCCAATTTTTCAGAAACCGTAGATAACGGATTGATCCTGGTTTTACCCCAATCCGGTCCAATCCGAACCATGCTCACCCCTATTACCCATGTGTATCCTTTCTGGAAGGCATATGACAAGCACTTTATACAGAACTTTGTTTGGTCCCTGTTTTCAAAAAAATACTTTTCAGAAAATTTTATTTTTTTATTTTTTGTATTTTTTTTATTTGTACTAATTTTTTTAATATTTTAAGTAATTTTTTTTTTACTTTTTAGGTATAATATAAAACTTTTAGGTATAATATTTTAAGCAATTTTTTTTCACTAATTTTTGTTTGGTCCCTGTTTATTTTTACTTTTTTTACTTTTTATGTTAGGTATGTCTAAAAAGTAAAAAAAATGTAAAAAAACTTTTTAAAAATTCATTAAATACCAAAAATATAAAAAAAATACGATAATTCAATACATTTTTTGTATTTTTATGTATTTATTAATTTTTTAAAATATTTTTTCACAAATTTTTTACTTTTTAAATACATCTAAGTAAAGTGAATCTAAAAAAGTAAAAAAAAATGTTTAAAATTTTAAAAATATTCACTAAAAACAAAAAAAAACACGAAAATCAAAAAATTTAATTTTTAAAAAACTTAATCTAAAAAACTCAAACTAAACACACTATAACTTTTTTGAAAAATATAACTATTTGTGCTTTTGTTATTCACGATTCTAAGAGTGTATACCATAAAAATCGTAATTTTTTTTTTTTTTGTGGATAAAGTGCACATTTTAGTATTTCTCTTTCTTTAAACACCCATTCTCAAATTTGAATTTTGTTATTTTTTTAACACTACAAATAATCCCAATCTTACCTGCACCCATCCACTTAACCACCATTTGTTGCATTCGTAACTTTCGCTACTGTTTCATCTCCCATGTCCAATATGGTGTCATGATGTAATAATGAAGTTTTAAAATAGTAGGAAGGATTTTTAACCAAAAAAAAAGGATGGGGAA